TTCTTCTTCTAGATGTGTCTCCATTCCTTGGCAGGCCATTGTCTCTTTTCTGGTATTTGTTGTCTCAAACAGCACCGAGCGGATTTCTTCTCGCCAGGCTTTCATTCCCTGTCGCAGTTTTTCTTGGCCGACTCTCCATTCCTCTCGTCCAGCCCCCATTATGGCCGCCAACTCTTTATAGCTGGCCTCCATTTCTTCCTTGTCAGCTTTTCTGTTGGCGTCCATTTTCACCACTAGGCGTTCGAACAATTTTTCCATCTGCATCGTGTGGCAATATTATTTGTTGAGGCATGTTCAAGTTTGTGGACACTTCTGACACCAAATTGTCACGTATTGGGTATATGTCATGCGACAAATAACTTCACGCCCTTTTGGATATAGCGAATTTATTGAACACTCACTCGCACAATTACAAAATTCACAATTACACTGCTACTGCCATCAGCACTATCACAGTTACGTCTTCTGCTGTAGTCACTGCCATGCACTCGATACAACCTGACCCAGCGACTGCTAGATTGAAACTGACCTCGGTGACTTCACGATCCACACTGTGTCACTCCTGATCAAACACTCTCATCACATACTTATCAGCTGGCTTTTTATACTGTACCCTGTTGCATCGTGTTACCAGCGGTGTCCCCTTGTTACGTCATAGAGGGAAGTGTTATGTCACCGCAGGGGAGGGGAACGGAGTGTACTATAGCAGCAGCAATTGCTCCGATGCTGTTACATCACCATGGGGAGGGGGTGCATCCTGCATAGCACAGATATGTCACAATATTATATATTACAAATATAGAATTTTTAAATGTGAATAAAAACTTAGATGTTATACAACTAAAATAACTAAAAACATTAAAAAATATTAGAACAGTATTATAAAATTATGGAAATATGAAGTTAAAATTTCTCATGTGGAGTTGAAGTTTATGATGTGTGATAGATGATGTGAACCCACGTTGTTTTAGTCTCTCACGATGTGGAAGTTATTTTGCCCGGAGTTGTGTTGCATTAAATGTAGAAAAAGTAGTGTGTGTTACATTTGATATATATATATATACACACACACACACACATATACATACATAGTATTATTGTGATAACTTTCATAATTTATGGACCAGGGCTGTTCCAGTGTGTTAATATATTATTATTATATCTTCTTTGGCATAGGTCATAATATACTGTCTGTAAGGAGTGAATGGATTGATAATTAATATTAATTAAGGATTAAAAATGTTATGCTAACAGATTGACAAGGCTGTTATGCCACTCTGTAGTCTGAACACTGACAACAAGATTGACCCTGACAGTGTGAATTTTAGAAAATAATTTTATGCAAGTAGATGTTGAAGTGGTTGACCACCTATATAGCACAGTAAGCCTAAGCGTGGATGAAGATCACAGCATTGTCCATTGACTGTTTCTTTCAAATCCTTGACATTTTAACTCTTAAAGGGTGCATTCTTATCATCTGCACAAAATCAAAAGATGTAATGTCAACTGGTGGCAGTTCCTGAAGGTGTTTTCCCCTGGAACAAAGTTGTGTTGTAACTTGTTCTCAAATTCATATACTACCACAGTCACCGGAAAGGAAAATATCTAACATACAGTTGACTCTCCTTGTCATGTAACAAGACCTTGAGGAGTGTATTCTTGCAACGTCACTTTATTACTCAACGCCATAAGTACAATTCAACGTAACTATAACACAAATGTTTAACAAGTCATTTCATAGTTGCTCCTTTCGTGTTAACAACTCTCACTAGACTGTAGAAGTGTCCGTCTCTACGTGCTGACTAACCACTGGCTTCTGTTGGCTTCCACTGTGTTGTGTCAACGGACACTGTCACGCTTGGTCCTCAGCTGTCTTCTTATACTCTTGCTTGTTGCCCTAGCAGCAGCAGCGCCCGCTGTTACGTCACAGCAGCAAAGTGTTTACTAGCCTGTTGCCTAGCAGCTCCTCCGTTATTACGTCACAACAGGGAAGTGTTGCCTAACACAGCTCCTCTGCTGTTGCATCACCATGGGGAGTCCACGATTCCCAACATTCCTCTGTGCTTTTGTATGTCTGCATTTTTATTTGGATCATGATGAGCATCAGTGTGCTGTCCATGGCCATGGTAGATGATGCTGTGCATGGATAGTGAATTTTGTCTGCATTTTCTCTACCTCATTCCATGATTTTGACTCATTCATGTTTCTTTCCATATGCAACAGCCCTGGTTTAGTTGTAGGTCACGTCGTTTGGGATTTGTGATGGATAAAGTGACACTATGGCAGGTTTTCTCCAAGTACTTTGGTTTCTCCTGCCAATTCTCATTCTGCCATTTGCTTCATATTCATTAATCCTGTGAACGCTGTTTAGTCTCAATGCTGACAGTGTCATTAAATAACAAACATAAATGTATATTTATTTCTCACTCCTTCAGCATGTTTAGTGTTTTTTCAATGTATTTCCCTTTTTACTCATATTTTATACAAATAGCAATTTTTAGGGCCACAGCCCTCGCATAAAACCAGTCACCTGTAACTAGTTTTGAACAGGCACAGTCATCCAAGATAACTTCAGAAACTGTTGGAAGGTTCTAACTTGAAAGAACTTGTAATGCCTGTACCCTTTTAAATGTTTCTGTCTGTCTACAGAGGCTAGTAGAAATGACATTACTATATATTCAATTTAGTAACCTGTGTCTTAATATAATATTCAATTTTTTTGAATTGTTTCATTTTTGGTCCGTTACACTATCAATCACAAAGTTAATAGAAAGTCCGTCGAGTGTAACAATTTGTAGGTCACTTCAAGGAGGAGCTTAGCATTTTACATCAAATGTTTTAAACATTTTAAATATTTTAACATTAGCGTTTTAACTTAAAAACAGTTTCGGATGGAAAGTGAGAATTGATAGTGTACTCAACTATCCTAGCAAGTGTTGTGCTTTTACACGTCAACATATTGTAGCAGCGTCCACACAACAAACATAACTGTGTACATCATAAACAACGACAGTGTTTTCATAATTGTAGTAAGTGCCTCTGATGATGGTTGTGTCAAACCGAAACATGTAAGGCAGAAGTGATAAAGAAGTGACCTACAAATTGTTACACTTGATGGACTTTCTATTAACTTTATAATATTCAATAATATAAATTCTCAGTACATAATAATTTGTCAGTCAGAACCAAAAAGTTTTACACTGCACCAAGATTGCAATTTATAAAATAAATTCTTGTATATGTATTCATGATGTACATACCAAATTACAAGTTTGTGTGGATGATTTATGCTTTATTGCCACCTAATAGGTGCTAAATATAGATTAGTGATTGATATCTGCATAATTTATATTGCACTACAGTTTGATTCTCAAAATTTGGAAACAGAAATATAAGTAATTGTAAATATAGTTATACTGATAGTTATCAGTATTGCAGAATTGGTACCTCCTCAGTAAAAGTACTATAGTATAGAAGTTGTTATTTTTCTGCCTTTTAGTTAAGGTATTTTGCAAGATATTTGAGCAAGTTTAGTTTTGGTCTGTATTCACATGTAGCCTCTCCTTTGCATAAAAGATAGAATCAAAAATGAAGATTACATGGTGCAATCCAAAAGTTCCCGAAATTTGAATTTTGCACGTGAATGATTATGAGTATGTTAAAATACCGCTAGGTGTCTCCCCACACACCCTTCTTGATTCAGTATGGCAAGTGGCGTCGAGTTGTGTAGTTAGGTATATTGTTGGTGAACATATTTCCATTGTTGTGTTTCCGTGAGTTTGTGGTTTCGTGATGGCTGATCTGAGAGAGCAGCGTGTCTGTATAAAGTTTTGTTTGAAACTTGGGAAAACCACTGCAGAAACATACCAAATGTTGAAGCAAGCTTTTGGTGACAACAGTTTAGGCCAGACACAAACTTACAACTGGTATAAGCGTTTAAAAAATGGCCAAACATCGACTGATGATGACAATTGTTCGGGATGGCCATCAGCTGGCACCACGCCAGAAAATGTCGCAAAAGTTAGGGATCTGATTCTGCAAGATTGTAGACTGACCGTCCAAGACCTCTGTAACACCTTGGGAATAAGTTATGGTACATGTCAACGAATTTTGTCAGAGGAACTGAACATGAGGATTTCAGCGAAGTTTATGCCATGAGTGCTGCAAAATGAACAGAAACAGCGTTGCTTGGAAGTCTGCAGAGAACTTCAAAACAGCTTCAAGAGGATCCAGACTTTCTTTCAAAGGTTGTCACTTGTGACAAAAGTTGGGTTTATGGCTATGACCCTGAAAGTAAGCAGCAATCATCACCTTGGCCAAAAAACGCTTGACAAGTCAAGAGCAACATTAAGTCCATGTTGATCTGTTTTTTTTTTATATTGACGGGATTGTTCATAAGGAGTTCATGCCTCCTGGTCAGACAGTCAATAAAGAGTTCTATCATGATGTTCTAAGGCATTTGAGGGAGGACATGAGGAGAAAACGTCCAGAGGAGTGGCGCATGAACAACTGGGTACTCCACCATGACAACGCACGACCGCATACGGCTTACATTGTGCAGGGATTTTTGGCTAAAAACAAGATGGCAGTTGTTCCCCACCCACTGTACTCGCCAAACTTAGCTCCATGAGACTTCTTTCTCTTCCCCAAGATGAAAATCAAGTTGAAGGGGTGAAGATTTGACACTGTTGAGGAAATTCAAGCAGAAACACAGACAGTACTAAACACCCTGACAACGAAAGACTTCCAGGATGCATTTCAAAAGTGGCAAAAACGCTAGGATCGGTGTATGTGTTCCCAAGGGGACTACTTTGAAGGCGATGGTGCAGAGTAAGATCCAGGTAAGATGTAATAGATTTTATTATATTTCGGGAACTTCTGGATTGCACCACGTACATTATAGACAACTTTAATTGTACCTGTAATTTTGTATGACTGAAACATAATTCCTCAATTCATTTAATTTATTCACCTTCCATAAATCCTGTCGAGAGTAAATTCTCATGCGGATGTGGAGATCGTCGTTGTTACAGTCACAACTAAGGATTACAGTTGTCATCCATTAGCATGCACATTTGTATAAAATACTGATAAACATTTGATTTGTTTCATTCTGGTCCGTCACACTAACAATTGTAAATACAAACCACTCTGTCCAATGTGACATGCAAGTTTTTACTACATTAAAACTTATCTCCCTTACATGTTTCGGTCCTTACGGGCCATCTTCAGAGGGAACATCATTACAAACTGGAAACTACCATCACAATAGGTGTTTTGATTTAAAATACATACACTTATATTCTATAATGCACAGTACACATAAAGTTGAACGTTTCACAATCACAGCAGCTTCTTGGTGTTGTAAAGGTTTTAAAAGTTTCTAGATGTTATTTAAAAAACCTTTATTGTCAGTAATTAAAAATTTTTAAACCACGTAGGTTCGTGTCCATACTCCTATCGTCCTTCTTGTACAGGACAGATTTTGTGCCGCCTGTCTTATCTTGATGAGGAGGTTCTTGATGTCGTCCAGGGTTTGGTCATGGCTTGCTGTGTATGTATTTTAAATCAAAACACCTATTGTGATGGTAGTTTCCAGTTTGTAATGATGTTCCCTCTGAAGATGGTTCGTAAGGACCAAAACATGTAAGGGAGATAAGTTTTAACGTAGTAAAAACTGACATGTCACATTGGATGGAGTGGTTTGTATTTATACTGATAAACATATACAATATAATAAATAAGTTAATTTTAGTAGTAAAAGTAATGGCAAACCTAATACAATTCGTACAGTTTTATGCAAGTCTATTAATTAAAAATTCATTAGTTAAAACATAATGTCATTAATGAGTTTTGTATAACATACATTAATTATATAATAAATTGAAATAAAGACTAGTATACAGTAATATAAAAATTGTGTATATTTAAAATAAGCATCTAAAAACCAGAACACAGACTGACAACCTTGTCTTCTTTTAATTGTAAAGCAAGACAACTACTCGTACCTTATAAAGATTTTATAACCAAAATATGAGGGATGAACACGAACTTCATAACTTGCACTCTCCATCTGATGTTTTGAGGATTACTAGCACAAGGCAATGAAATGATTTTCTTTCCTCCCACTTCTATATAACCTGCCACTTCCCCAGCTTCACTCACTTCTACCCAGAAGATGGAGGTAGTGTATTCCTCTGCTGGTGCCTGTCAGACTGCAAGGTTTCATGACCCTGGATGACCCTGGGTGCCACAAACACACGTTGGTGAAATTGTTCTGTAGTACACCAGAACTACTTTAGAAATTGTAGTCAAAAATATCCAGTCTCCAAGACTGAATACAAAAGCATGGGACCCTAATATTGGTGATAGTACCCAATTGTCTCATCAGCTTATAGTTGAAGAGCTGCCATTAAAACTGAGAAAATGCTGAGTTGATTAGAGAGCCATTGTTTACCTGAATTCTGAAGACCTGGTGGTCTGTGAGAAAAGAAATGTATAATCCTAGTTCATTTTTCACTTGGCCCTTCCCACCTTTTCCCAAGAATCCTACCACTGAGATACAAGCACAGAAATCTTGGTATGAAGTTTGCAGTACATACTGCAACAATCTGATTTCAGTACTGAAAGACTGACTGAAGTGTTGTCATAACAGAAATCATACTTCCTCTTAATACTTCATGTCTGATATGCAGAATAGTTTTATGTCAGTTATCCCGGACCTCCTTCCTCTCCTTCATAAGCACTTATCTCAAAGCTGTCTTGTGTGTCAGTCCTTTGTGATAGGCTGCTTGCAAGTACTTAGAAAATAGTTTTCATTTCAGCAATAGTGGTCTGATGATACATTGTGAGCCATGACCAACCCACATAAAAAGGAAGAGTTAACAGACCTGCAAGTTTCTTGTGCCAGAAATGCATGTAACAAGTGTAGTGGTGTAATGGCATTAGCATGCTCTCATGGGATACATTGGGTTTTGGAAGTATACTTTTAGAATATCATAGTGATGTACATTGGGGCAATAACTATTTTGAATGTTTATCATGTTAAAACGATATTACATACATTTCCTACACTTACTTATGCTGCTGTGTGAGATGTAATCAGTTCTTCAGTTCTTGCATTTTTGCTATAGGGTGATGTTTATTTTTAGGTGTGTGAATGGTATATTACTATAGCAAGTGTGTGGCAGGCTTATTTAAACCACTACAAGCATGAATACTGCAGAAACAACTTATGTACAAAAGTGGTTCCATTTTGGATTTCCTTATTTATGTTCTTTTTCTTGAATTGATTGCAGATTCACATTATTTTAGTAATTATAGTATACCAGTTTCATACTTTTTGTTACAGTGATGAACACTCTGGGAAAGTTAAGAGCTTCATGCTTGATGTACTGTGTCCACTCATAACTGAATCAGATATAGTGTCCAATGAACTGCTGGATATTATTCTGATGAATGTGGTGGAACCTAACAAGTCACAACGAAAGAATGCATATCTCCTTGCTAAGGAGCTTGTAGTGAAGTGTAGTGACACACTGGAACCATATATACAAACTGTATGTATTGACCACCTATGTTGTAGCTGTCATATCATGTAGATACTCGTATAATTGAAGAGTGCTAACAAAGTGTATTATTGTATCATTTGCATTTTCTTGCTATGTAGAATACTTTCATTTACATGATCATACCATAAGTATTTTCATTAAATCAGTATATGTATGATTTATTATTAAATAAGTGTTTTCGATTTTATAGTTCTTCAATCATGTATTGATCTTGGGTAAAGAAGAGAAAGGACTTGGAATCTGTGGGAAAGTATATGATCTCATCTATGAGCTCAACCATATATGCCCCAGTGTCCTTCTGGCAGTTCTACCACAGCTTGAATGCAAGTTGAAATCAGCCCAAGAGGCTGAACGTTTGGGTGCAGTTGCTCTTTTGGCAAGGATGTTCAGTGAAAGAGATTCTAACCTTGCAAGACATCATACACAACTGTGGAAAGCCTTTCTTGGAAGGTGACAGTTATTTTCATAATCTGTGACTGTTAAAAAATAAGATTTGTTCACTGTGCCATTATAGAAGTTAATGGATGCAGAATGCTACTTTAATTGGCATATAACCACCATATTATATTTTTCAGTCTCTCTTACTCTTGAAGGAAAGCAAGGCATATTTTGTATATATCCTGTAGCAATTTTTGAAGCACTGATGGATTTTCTTGAAATTTGTGTGAATATCATGTCGTCAAAGGCTATCTCCACCTTCATACTGTTTAACACTTGCCATCAACATGCCAACTTTTCACCATTTAATATTTTTTAAGCGGGAGCTATGCTAATGCTTCTCAATATCAGTTCTGATATTTTATGTGATAATACTTCTTAAATAAGGAACATTTGTTAAGATAACTTTTGTAAAGCTACAACATGGTTGGCCCATTGCAACCAAGATTGTCAAATTTAGTGTAGGGATAGACTACAGATATAGCAGATCTTGAATTGAAGCTACTTATGTGTCATAATTTTCTTACATGATGACTGGAATCAACAAATCCCTGTTAAGATAAGTGTCTGAAATTTGAGGACTTCCTGTATATATAAGATAAATAAGAGAAATTATATTGTACCAGGAAAAAAAAAGACAGTTTAAAGCTTGTAAATTCAACAAGAGTACTGAAAATCAGGGATGGGATTCTGACCAAGTCTGAAAAATTTGTGCATCTGCCATTACTTATTGTAGAAAAGTTAGAAGTATGACAAGGGTAGCATCTTGTACTTCAGATTGGTAGGCACCGAGTGTGTGGTGATCTCATAAACCTGTTTTCTTTCCAAAAGCAAGACATATGGGCTGAAGAAGGCACTAGATGTGGTCTGCAATGGCACAGTTTAATTTTTAGTGTCAGCTTTGGCCATGTATCTCAGTGTTTCAGACACACTGCTACCTGACCTTTGAGCAGTATTTGAATGATGACAGTAGTAGGATTACCTGGAAAAGATCAACTGTTCAGACTGGTGGAGTGATACTCCTGTTTTATGTTGTGGCCCATTAGTAAATACATCTGTTACAATTATTATGGATATGCCTGTGTTGTTCACTTGTAAGTTTAGAGTAGTTTCTAATTATTTATTTATGTGAACCATGTATATGTTTCAGGTTGATTTGTTGTGGTTATTTCATTTTTACATGATGCATTATTTACCACAGCAATTATAATTGTGTTCTTTTCATTGAAACTAGGTTTAATGACATCAGTGTTGCTATCCGTACAAAATGCGTGCAGTATTCAATGCATTTCCTTTTGAACCATCCTGAATTGCGTCGTGACATCACCGAAACACTGAAGATGCGGCAGCATGACTCAGAGGAGAATGTTCGTTATGAGGTTGTAATGGCTATAGTTACAACAGCAAGGCGTGACTTTGAAGTTGTTTCAGATAGTGAGGATCTTCTTGAATTTGTCAAGGAGAGGACACTTGATAAGAAGGTTAATATTTTGCATTAACTAATTTTTGTGTGAGGAGACTGCCTAGAGGTAACATTTGTACTGCTTGATGTTGGGGAATGAAGTGACTGAATTTGTCCATGTGTTTTGTTTGTTACACAGAAGTAATTTCAAGATATTTCAGGAAAAGTGTACAATTAAGATGAAGGGAAGGTTTTCTAGTGTTCTTTTATTGGTGAATCAGTCTTGTAAATGTTAGGTGATACACCTAATTATGGTCTTTTTGTGAGTAAGTCAATGTGGAATTTTGTTCTTGCCTTTTATGAAATACAGTGGAGTCCCATCATACACACATTTACAACAAATGATTCAAAATCTGTCTCACATAATGTTCAGAATTTGTTTTTTTAAAAAAGATATGGACATAGTTATCTTTCACACGCTAATTGCATGGCAAACCCCAACTATTAAATCATGCAATTTCCCTTCATGAACAGCATGAGGATTTTCTGTGTTCCAGTATGTGTTAATTTGGCTGTGTATGTAACCAATTAAAGTGAACCATTCTTGTCACAGTAAGACAAGTTCTAGATCAAGAAGGACATTGAATACCAATTCTTGGAAATCACCTACAATACCTTGTTTTTCAATCTAGGAGCAAAGGCTTTGTATGTAGTTTTGTAAGGCCACAACTTTAGCAACTTAATAGCAGTGTAACAAAAGAAATAACTTGGAAATTCATGTGTATTAAATTTTTGAACATTTTATTTCACAGCAGTGTAAATTGTAGAATGTAAACCTGTTGCTAAGTAATGGCTCATACACACACAGCAGAGGAACATATCACTTACGTGATGACATCACACAACAGTAGAAGAGGTGTTGCAAGCGGTGTTTTCTGCGGGTCTGCTTTGAGGCTATATGACTTGACCAACCGAGTTCAGTTCAGTTAGTGAGTGCAGTGCAGTTGGTTGGTGAGCAGTCAGTTAAAGGACTGCTGCAGTTCAATCATTGTGAGCCATTGCTGTTAGAAGCTGATAGCTGAGGCATGGATGTAGTGTTGGAACATCTACCATTGGAAGCTGTTCCCAGGCAGCGTCTGGTTAATACACAGCAGACTGAAAATACTTAGTGTGTGCTGTAATGAATTGTAGTATGTGTGAATTAGTAATAGCATTATAGTTTCTTGTAGTTACAATCTGTAAGTGGTCAATAAATGACCAATCCAAACCCCGTGAGTAGCCACTCAGCACATGACAGTTGGTGTGAGAAGTGAGATTGGATTGATCACATTGTTGGATTGGAGACAACAGTAGAAAGTTATGTTGTCATATTATGAGATGTAACACCTGCTGGCTGAAATAAGAACCAACCAAGAAGAAATGAGAACCATTCAAGAAAGGATGTAAGCTAAGATGGACACCAGTCAAGAAAATATGGACAACGGACAAAAGAAAATGAAAGCCCAGGTGACTTCCCTCACCTCCAAGATCAGTGCTAACTGAGAAGAGCTGAAGGCTATGTTGGATGACTGTCTAGAAAAGATGGAGGCAAATCCAGGAGAACTGCAGTCTGTAGTGGTGCATCAGGAAGTCTGTAAGGAAGAGGCCACTGTGGAAACTATTGGAGCAATGGAGGGCCAATATGGGGACCGGTATCTAGCCATAGACTGCCACTGACAGCCAAAGGAAAGCGCCTGGGGTAATAGTGGGTGCTGGAAGAAGTTGGCTGCCACCCGCAGATGATTGAGCCACCATACCATTCCTGCACCACTCAAGGGACATGTTTGTCAGGGACCAGGCAAGGACAACATATGCGGAACTGCTAAAGGACAGACAGTTGAGAGGAGATGACAGATGCTGCTGAAATTCAACAACAGCGTAAGGAAGTGAGACCTAAGACTGCAGCTACATCTAGGAGGCAAGAGGTAGTCAGCAAGACTGTCATGCAAACTCTCAGACTGGAGGTTGTGAGGTGAGCATTCGAGTTTCCCATCCGGCTGCAGAAAATGAGTGGCTAGACATTGTGGAGGAGCATACCACCGCCCAAGCAGAGGAAGTGACAACCCTCAGCTGTAGTGTAAGGGATGTAGGAGCACCAACCGTTATTGGAAGTTCTGCCTACGCCGACCAGAAGAGAGGTTATGGTGGCACACCTGGACCAGCTCACTAGATGTCAGGTAGCCACTTAGGAAAATCGGTCTTAAGGAGGAAGCAGAGGGAGCAATTATAGAGTAATCACTGAGCGAACCAAGCCACGGGGAAGGAAGATGAGACTGATCACAGACATTACAAACACATCCCTTGGTAAAAAAAGAAATAGTGATATGCCTGTAGGCTATTGAAGACAAATAGCTTTAAGGAGGGCAGAAATTTTTAAACATTGCCCCACAAACCTGCTTCAGCTGAAGAATGTTATTCGGCAGGAAGTAGCCAAAATTCCGGTGCACATGTTAGAATATACAAAGGGGAACTACAGAAAACGGTTGCATCAGTGCATAGAGAACGGTGGCCGCCACCTTCAAGATATTCTCTTTAAAACTACATGATTTAAAACTTTAAAGTATGTTCTTTCATTAGCTAAACATAAATTTTGTCTATCAGCAATAATTTTTGTTTTATTCACCTTCAAAAAAAAAAGGAAGTTTCTGTGCCCCATCCTGTATTTGTCAGCACTCTAACTCTTAACATCTAACTGATATAATTATTCACACACTAATGATGGTTATGCAAAGACTTACCAATGTGGTGTGGAAGAATGTTGCAGATCAACCCTTATGACATCTTGTTTCTTTTGCAAATTGTCTAATGTATAAGATCCAGTGATTTTAGTTTTCACAGTTTCCCACAGTTTAAAAATGCACTTTCATGTGCTGGAGTTTTTGTTTTATTGAAGTGTTTCCCATTAAAATGTTAACTTATAGTTTCCACGCCAGAAATTCTAGGCTAGAGATGGTGAAAGTACCCAATAAAGTTATAAACTATCACAATCTGGTCTTGAAAAATGAACTTGTCTCAGGTGAGTGAGCCACTGTTTTTCAGGCTCTGCTGTTGACACACTGTGCTATTATACAGTGTGAGTCAAAAGTCACTGTGCACCCACACTATAGATGATAAACCTGCCTCATTCTTAGTATTAATATTTGTAAATTGGCACAGCAAACAGGCATCTCCTGTGGCAGATCATGCAAAGCACTGAAGAAACATTTGCACCTTCATCCCTACAAGATAACATCAGTGCATGAATTGAACGTGTGGAATATTGCTGGTGGTTCAGGGACGTTCTAACAATTTTTCGTTTTTGTATAGTTCAAGATCCGTAAAGAAGCCATGTCAGGATTGGCGATGATTTACAAGAAGCACCTAAATGATGCAGATGTACCACAAGCAACCAAAAAGGCGGTGACGTGGATTAAAGATAAAATTCTTCATGGTTACTACATGACTGGCATGGAAGACAGGTATGTAGCTTTCTTTGAAAAGTCTGCCCATATTGCTTTTTTGTCAGGTTGACATGCAGATTATACCTCAGATGTCAGTCTTAGGCTTTGAGCATGTAGGATATTATCTGGAGGTTTCTTTGGGTTATGTACTAATTCTATGTATTTTCTATTTTTGGCCATGCTCTTAAGTATACAGGTACATTTAACAGGACTGTTGACAGTGAAGATAAAAGCAGTACAGTGAAACCTTGGTTTTATGTTTCCAAGGAAACCAACAAAAAAAAAACATGCTTAAAACTGAGGAAAGTGTAAAATAAAGGAAATGAAAATGATATAACATAAAGGATTATTTGGACTGCTTTATACAGTGCCTTTGGCAGACCATTTAAAATATGCACATTTTAAACCAACAGCATTTCAAATATACTCATACTAACAAAGCTTGTTATTTCTTAACCAGTCATAGTATGTATTGTTCATTTTCAGATTTTCCATGGTTTTTCACAGTTGTGTCTAGTGTGGACATTGAATGTTGGAGCCATAATGCCATCTCAGCACATGTTTCAGCAGACACATGAATTATATAATAATTATTATTTTATCATTTATCGTAAATGTTTTCCATTTGCATTGTTATCTATATTTCAGGAAAAAGACGACTAACAAACTAATGGACACATTTATATACATTGCATAGATTTTCATAGTCATTGATATCAGTGAATTCCATAGTAAAATAAATGGCTGCAGCATAACAGAAAGCATGAAAGTGTGTTTTTTGCTACAGTTTTCGAGGTCATTCACGTGAGGTGTAAAATTTCATGTGTACGAAGATATGCTTATTTTTCTGAGACATACCTTTAACATGAGTAGAACAGATCCAGTGTTTGAGTTTTCCAAACTAGAGTATATATACACACACATATATATATATATATATATATGAATAAATGTCTGTTATTACTACTCAAAAAATAAAGTGAAAATTTGGGAAAAATGTAATTTTGAGGAAGCATGAAATCATTTAAAATGTGATATTGTTTTTATGGGTTTTTGACCAGGGCCAGCAACAAAGGGGTTTAATCTCAACAATTTCCCATGCTCTTAATTATTATTCTTAAAGTGTCTTTAAGGTGAGAACATTTCTTCTGTCCTCAGGTTATTGGTAGAGAGGTTATTAAATACATGTTTGGTTCCATTCCAACTACCTGCAGAAGAGCGCATGAAGAAATTGTACCACTTGCTAGGAACAATTGACGAAAATGCCACGAAGGCTTTCATTGAACTCCAGAAGCACCAGCTAGCGTAAGTAAAATTCACATCTCATTATGTGCTTCTGCTGAAATTGAGAGAATCTTTGTTAACAAGGTCATCATGGGTAAATTTTTATGTCTTGGCACACTTTGCATGAAGTGAATGCAAAATGAGATTACATTTTTCTACTTAACATTTCTGGAAGTACTTTATATCTTTTAAATGAAATTTAATATTGTGTCCACGCTGAAAACTGACTAGAGAATTCAATTTTGGTATGTATTAGTCAGTCATAACCGCTGTTCATATGAAGTCCAAGTCGGACATTTATAAAATAAATCAAAAACAGCTTATTGTACAAAAATTGCCATATTTGCCTGAACATGAGACAGTTCTATCAAAATTTTACATTTGTAGGAAGTACGTCATGCAGTAGCATATTTGGTTGAGGGGCTATGCTACAAGCCGGAAGGTCACGGATTCAAGTCCCAATGAGGTCATGGGATTTTTTCAGTTGACCTAATTGTTCCAGCTGCACTATGGCCCCGGGGTCAACTCAGCCTCTAACAGAAATGAGTACCAGGAATTAATTAAATAATTTTCCTGGGGAGTAAAGTGCAGCCGGCATGTAAGGCTGACAACCTTACCCCATCTTTGAGCTGATTGTCTAGATAATGTGAGACCCTCAACGTCTCACAACCCTATGGGCCTTCACGGCCTGGTACAGGATAGCTTTACTTACGTATTTATATCTGTATTAGAATTGCCTGGATTTCCATATTACTAAAGATCTGTTCTGGAATTAAATAAATATAAACGTTGAAACATGTGTATGAATATTATATTAGCATTAATAATTTTCATGAATACTAAGACACAAAGAAATGTTAATATTTAACAGACTGCATTAATTAAGAAGTTCTGGAAAGAACTGATCACCTTCTTTCCTATCACTGTAATTTTATTATCTGATACAAGTAGAAAGAAAATTTAGTGTGTATGCATAATTAAGTTAATAAAGCAAAACATTTTTGAAGGATGCAGAGTTGTATTATAAATTATGAGATTTATGAAGTACACCAGTAAGATGACCCCAGATAGCATGATGCCTATGTACTGACCCATGTATGAGTGTGACTTAGACGGGGTTTGAATTGGACATTGGATTTATTGATCACTTTAACACATGAATTGTGGCTACACTTAATTGCAGCACCACTGCTCAGCTCCATGCTTTAAAAGTCACTACATCACACGAAGTCTTTTCAGTCTGCTGTTTCTTCACCAGTCATTCCCCAGTAACAGCTTCTAACAGCTTCCATGCTCACTGGGTGTCAGCTGCACCAACAGATCTCTTCACAGACTCCCTTACAACACTCTCTCTCTCTCTCACACACACACACACACACACACACACAACTCTTGCTCCTGTTCTTATTAGATCTTGGCACAGACCATGTAGAAAATACCGTTCATCCTTGTACTCCAGTTGTTGTGGAAACATGTTTGTTTGCGAAGGTGTTTCTCAGTAACAGCTGTGTATACTTGCTTATTGAGGACCTGTTGCCTAGCAGTGAATGTTGTTTTGTTGTTAGTTTGGAAGTTTATACCCAGTAATGGGTTTGCATGTTATGTTGCTCTCTCCCTGTTTGTGTACTGCTATTTATTTTTTTTCTTTTCAGGGACCTGTGCTTGTGACTTTGTGGTCAGTCTTGCTTTCCTTTCTCATGGCTTTGTTCTCATGGAGATTACTTCCCATCTCCTCCCGCTGCTCCTTAAGGCTGCTCATCCTGAGCAGCTCCCTGAAAAGGTGCCAGTTGTTCCAGGTGTACCCCCATCATCCTGCATTTCTGATCATTGGGGGCAGAATTTCCCAGAGTGGTCAGTGCTCCTATATATCTGGCTTCTGCTGTGTATGCAGTCTTCTCTTTCATTTTGGAGGAGGCCAACTGCTCCAAAGTGTCCAGTCACTCCCTTTTCACAGCTCAATGGAAAACTCAACTGCTTGTTTCACAACTTCCAGCACTGTGGTCTTCTTGAAGATCCTGCCAGATGTCCTCTCCCTTCTCAGACATAGCTGCACCTTTAAGCCTCAGTCTAATTCCATCACTGCATTCCAGGCATGTCCCTTTGCTATTATTTCTTCTTGATGGCTTCTCTCATGGCTTGATAGATATCCATCTGGGAGATGAGAGTCCTTTGAAGGACCTCAACTTTTTCATTGTTGGTTTTTATTTCAGCTTCGATCTTGGCTTCTAGCTTTGCTGTTAATTCTTCTTTTGTTTGAATGAATGAATGTATGAGGGGTAAGCCATCTCGGCCCTTGCACTGCGACCTACAGTGGTCTATTGTAGTGTTGTATTTTAGTGTCCTGTTGCACTGATTCGTATCCATAATGTGTATATATTTACCGTCTTTTAGTGCATACAATTTCACTTGTCACTTCACACTACATGTTTCGGCATCATTCTGCCATTCTCAGGTGTATCAGTCACGTTAAACCATTGCACTGCCTGCCATCAGAGGGTCCTCATATGAGTCCCTTTGTTTGCCTGAGTCCAGTCAAGGATCCCCAGTATTTCTTGTGTTTCATGTTTGTCCTGTCCCTGATTGCCTGTCTGGCAACTTCTATAGAGATGCCACAGGCTGGCTCAGGTCCTATGAACGGATGTTCAGCTCCGATCTTAGCTAATTGGTCTGCTGTTTCATTTCCAGCAATACCCTCTTGCCCTGGCACCCATATCATTTGTACCCTTTTATGTTTTTCCTTTAGAGTGGCATCCATGTTGGCTTGGTTGGTTATTATGTCTTTCATTTCTTTTTGAAAGGAATCCACCTTTGCCAACATCTATTCCATCTTTGTAGGCTGATGATGCAACTATCTACTGCAGTCTTCAGTCCAATCACTCAATGCTATCCCACTTCTGACATAAGTTGTCAGGTGTTAGAGTGGTTATCGATGGGGTTTGGATTGGAGATTGGATTTATTGACCACATTAACACACAACTCGTGACTACAGTTAATTATAGCGCCATTGTTGATCTCCACACTTTACAAATCACTACAGCACAGGGCTCTTGTTGGTACTGCTGATGAGAAGGATTTCTTAAGTGTGCCATCAAGAAGGCCTCAGCTGGCATCATATACATGCCAAGTCTCATTACGAGCAGTTCAGGCTTTCAAGCAATATTAATGGTATTACCTGAACCATTTGAGATGCTGTGGTGTTGGTATTACTGGTTAAAGGATTTATGATTTACAACATTGATATGGCCTCAGTGAATTGATATAATACGTACCAAGTTTGATGAAGATTGGTAGAGGCGTTCAATCAATAGTAAGGTTTTGTCTCAGAAGTATGACAGGCTTCAATGTTGGTGTTACTGATGGAGACATTTATGATGTGTGCCATTGACATGGCATCATGTGGCATAGTATGTTTACAAGTTTCATGAAGATGGGTACAGCCGTTCAACCAATATTGAGGTTTTGCTTCAGAAATTTGAGAGGCTGTAATGTTGGTATAACTCACTGAAGGGATTTATGAAGTGCACTGTTGAGATGGCGTCAGGTGGCATGATGTATGCATAAGAAGATTCATGAAGATGGGTACAGGCGTTGAAGCAATTTTAGGGTTTTGCCTCACCAACATGAAATATTGGTATTACTGATGGGTGGAGATTTGTACACCGTTGAAATATGCTCAGGTGGCATGGTACATTTACAGAGTTCCATGACAATTGGTTGAGGCATTTAAGTAACATTACGGATATTACCATAACAATTTCACAGGCTGAAATGTTGGTATTACTGATCAACGGGATTTATGAAGTATGCTATTTAGATGGCTTCATTTGTCATGATATACATACCAAGTTTTATGTAGATTGATGCAGGTGTTCAGTCAACATAACAGTTTTGCTTCAAATGTAATGTATAGAGAGGGGAGGGATTTATTAATTATGCCATTGAGTTTGGCTCATGTATCATGATATATGTACCAAGTTCCATAAAGATTGGTTGAGCCATTCAGAAGTTAGTAAAGGGGATACCCATGCAGACATACAGACACATACAGCAAGTTGGTCTCATAAGCACACTTTCCTCCTCCTCCTCCTTCTTCTTCTTCTTCTTCTTCTTCTTCTTCTTCTTCTTCTTCTTCTCCTCCTCCTCCTCCCCCTCTTCCTCTTCTTCTTTTTTTTCTTCTTCTTCCTCCTCCAAAATTAGGAAAGTAGGCTAAAGTCACAAATAAAAAGTCATATTGTAAAAAAATTAGTCCATGCCTAACAGTCACTATCATCACTACTTTCTCTTCAGTTGCATAAACAGATGTCTGCATCCTTCCACAGGATGTTGTCTTCTCTTCCTGGTCAGCTGCTGCAGCTTGATTTAGAAATAACTTACCCCTGGAGCCTAAAACTACACATTACACACATAAGTCATACAAGAGAGACACAGTATGCAAACTGATAATCAGAAATAGTTGCAGTAACCAGCAGTCCACACTAAAGCAGAACATGAATAAACCTGCAAGAAGAAAACCTTTCAAGAACTATATTAAATCCTCTGTATTCAGTACATATCCAGTCTCCAAAATTCCACAAAGCCAGTGCTATGTTTTACACCTGCAATAAAGATAACTACTTAGTCTGACCAATCAAAACACATCCCCAGATACATGCATTACACCAATGAATAATGACAATAAGATAGTTTTGTCATGACGGGCGTGCCCAACCATCCTAACTACCTAACCACATATTTTACTGATTTTATTCAGTTTTAAATTTTTTAGCATACAGGGGCTATTCAGAAAGTAACCTCCTATTATTTTAGTCAACTAATGTAGGAGCAGGGGAGAGCTTGTGCATGCAAGGTAGCATTGCCTTGTAAACCATCACATAACTGGTCAGCTATTGTTGTTCTTGTCTCTGCAGAATATGTTATGATGTCTCCTGCAATTGATAATCATACCAGCTGCAAAATTCATGCTGTTATCCTCTTTCTTCACTCTAAAATCATGAGTGCTGCAGAAATGTATCATGAATTATGTGTGGTTTATGACCAAAATGTAATGAGCGAAGGAACTATAAGACAGTGGTGTGGAATGTTCAAGGGTGGGCGAACAGATATTCATAAAGAAGAGTGAAGTGGTTGGCCATCTGTAGTTAGTGATGATCTTCAGAATGTTGACCACAAAATTTGTGAAAGATGGCACTTCACAATTTCAGAAGTTTATTGTGAATTTCCACAATTTCACGCAAATATTCTCTACAAGATCATCACAGGCTAGGCTGTCACAAGATTTTCGCAATATTGGTTCCAAAAATGCTCACAAGTGCACAAAAATATGCAGAGAATAGCTTCAGCTTTGGCATTTTTAGGGTGATACCACGAAAATGGCAATGAATTTCTCAGTCACATCATACGAATAACAGATGATGGAACCTGGGTTCCATTTGTGAATGTTGAAACCAAAGAGCGGTCAAAGCAGTGGATGCACACACTTTTAGCAAACAAGCCGAAAAAGTTTAAACAGATAATGTCTGCCAGAAAGCCGATGGCAGCTGTTTTCTGGCATGGGACAGGAAAGGAGTGCTGATGTTGGAATTCATGCAACAGTGGACCACAGTAATGTTAGAAGAGTATGGCAAACACTAAAAAAAGACTGTGTAGGGCCATTCAGAATGAAAGGTGTGGAATTCTGACATCCAGTATAGTGCTCCTCCATGACAATGTGCATCTGCATACATTATCTTGCACTAAAGCACTGCTGGAGCATTTAAACTGGGAGTTGTTTGACCACCCTCCTCACAGCCCTGATCTCTCTCTAAGTGACTTGCACTTGTTTACCTACCTGAAGAACTGGTTGGGATCACAGCACTTAAACAACAGTGAGAAGTTGATGGAAGGTTTCAAAACTTGGCAGAGCTCACAGGTAGCAGACTTCTTTGACACAGGCACACAAAAACTTTTCCCCAATATGACAGGTGCCTCAATTCCAGCGGTGACTGTATTGAGAAGTAGCTTAAGTATGTATCTATTTTCTTTGTATATGTTTTTTTTTTCTTGTTGCCTGTTAACAGCTCACTGAAGGTTACTTTCTTAATGGCCCTCATGTCATAAGATATTCACTGTACACATTCCCAAATTTAGTTTCAAATATCTACATTGTTCTGTATTTTACTAATACGATTCACTTTAGTGAAAACAGTTCATTAATGATGGATGTATATTTATGTAGCCACATGAAGATTATCACATAGATTGAAACATGCAGTGGTATGTGTAATAACATAATAGTAAGAGGTTAATATCAGTTTATTAATTGGTAGTTGTCTTGATAAAACTGACTAGTAATTATCGAGGGATATCACTGCTATCAACTTCATACAAAATTTTACCCAATGTTCTTCTCTCAAGGTTAAGTCCATACATAGATGAAATTATTGGGGATCATCAATGTGGGTTTCGACATAACAGATCAACTACAGATCAGATCTTTTGTTTTCATCAGATATTGGAGAAAAAATGGTAGTACAATGCGACAGTACATCAGCTATTTGTAGTCTTCAGTAAAGCCTATGATTCAGTTAGGAAGGAAGTATTGTACAATATTCTGATAGAGTTTGGGATACCCATGAAACTAGATGAAACGTTAAGCCGATTAAAATATGTTTAAATGAAACTTATAGTAAAGTCCGTATAGGTAAACATTTGTCTGATAAATTTCCTATCCAAAATGGTCTTAAGACAAGGAGATGCTTTATCGCCACTCCTTTTCAGCTTTGCTTTAGGATATGCCATTAGGAAGGTCCAGGAGAACCAGGTGGGACTGAAATTAAACGGGACACATCAGCTGTTGGTCTATGCTGATGTTGTGAATCTATTGGGTGATAATATAGATACCATAAAGAAAAACACACAAACTTTAATTAACGCAAGTAAGGAGGTTGGTCTAGAAGTAAACACAGAGAAAACTAAGTATATGTTGCTGTTCTGTCACCAAAATGTAGGGCAAAATCATGACATAACAACAGAAAACAGATGTTTCGAAGAAAATATGTCACAGTTCAGATATTTGGGAACGACAATAACAAATCAAACTCTGATTGAGGAGAAAATTAAGATGAGATTGAACTCGGATAATGCTTGCTACCATTCAGTTCAGAATGTTCTGTCTTCTCGTCTGCTGTCCAAAAACATAAAAATTAGAATATACAAAACTATAATTTTGCCTGTGGTTCTGTATGGGTGTGAAAGTTGGTCTCTGACATTAAGGGAGGAACATAGATCGAGGGTGTTTGAAAACAGGATGTTGAGAATATTTTGGCTGAAGAGGGATGAAGTGACAAGAGGTCTGAGAAAACTGCATAATGAGGAGCTTCATAACTTGTACTCTTCTCCAAGTATAATTAGAATAATCGAGTCAAAGAGGATCAGGTGGGCAGGGCATGTAGCACGAATGGGCGAAAATGAATGCATATGGGATATTGATGGGAAGCCAGAAGGAAAGAGACCACTGGGAAGACCAATGGCGTTAGTGGGTGGACAATATTAAAATGGATCTTAGAGAGATAGGATGGGATGGTATGTATTGGATTGATCTGGCTCAGGGTAGTCACCAGTGGAGGGCTCTTGTGAACATGGTAATGAACCTTCAGGTTCCATAAAATGCTGGGAAATTCTTGAGTAGCTGCAGATTTGGCAGCTCCTCAAGAAGGGCTCAGCTCCAAAAGTAAGTAAGTAAGTTGATGGCCACACAGGTACTGCTGATAATTTACACAACAGGATGCAAATAATAAAGAATGTTCATCGCAGCTGTTCTGTCTGCCAATAATTTTTTAAATAAATTCTGTTGCAGTGTGCGTCGTAGTGTGTCAGAATGGTTGGAGCTTCATCGGAGACCACACTCTGCTGAACGTGACAAAGATATGGCTGCACGAGTCACTGTACTTTCAAGATTCTTACCTGAGCCTGTGAAGGCACAGGAGTTTCTTACCAAATTTTCTGTTCATCTTATGCGGGACCCTGCACTGTTGCAAGGAATGGAGACTATTGTTAGGCCAGACATCAGCTGCAAAGATTGTGCAGACACCACAGTAGGTCCTCTGGAGATGTTTTAAGTGTTGCCACGGTTTTCTGCTAGTCATTTGATATATATTCATGTGTACATTTCTCAAATAAAGTGTGCATACATGCATGTATAGAGGTGTGCTCTTTTTTGTACTGTGGCTTATGTTAACACTTCGCGGACCGGCGATTTAAATATTTAAATCACCCTGGGCACCAGCGTTTTAAACCTACTACCCTAACTTGTGGACTGTTCACTTTAAAAATTAATATAAAATCTCCTAATTAATTTTATGAACTAAAATTTTTGGAGAACACTTACCACTGCTCCTAGAATTGCTTGAGAATGTGATATTTTTGGAAACATTCCCCTTTGTGAAGTGGCATTACACAGAACTTGCACATGTAGATAGTCATACTTCTTTTATTGTGTACTGCACGAACACAGTATCGCCTAGAAGGCTACTTCCCCTTGGTATGTTAACTCTTCACAATTTTCACGAGGGTATGTTTCCGCATATCACCCGAGAGTCGCCCAGGGGGGGTCCACATGAGGTCTGCGTGGGGTGGCAGTTGATGGACCCGGTCGCACTAAGTCTTTGTCTGCTGCCAGTTCTGCCGCCACCGTCTGGTCTGTAGCCCAGGCTTTTGCCACATTCAGCAGAAATGCCTTGTATTTCAATTTTGAATGAGGGTTTAGATTTTTGAAAACCAGAAATGAATTGAAAATGGCACAATTGATAAGCCACAAGGTAACTTTCTTTGTCCACTTTACTATTTTCCAAGGAAGAGAATAATAGGCCAAGTACTGATCGGCTCTGTCAACTCCCTTCATGAACATATACTCGGAAATACAAAAAGGCTTCTTTACCTGTCAATGTCTCCTTTGAACATCAACCATGCTCGAATTTTGAATTCTGAAAATCATATTCACAACACGAGTATCCCTCCAGGACTGAAGAAGAATATCCCCCTTCCTCCTGAATGTGGTTTCACCATGTTTCAGGGATTTACATTCCTCTTTCAGATCTGGAGGAAGGCCTCTGTTCACCCTAATTGTTCCACAAACACGTACTTTTCTCGAAAGTAGGTGTTCTGCAGTTGCCACACTGTTATAATAATTGTCTTGATAGACATAGTAATTTTGATCAAGATAGGGTTCCAAAAGAGAAAGAATAGTTTCTTGTAATTTCTTTCCTTCACCAGAATAAATTTCTAAATTTCCAATATAGCCTGAAGTGCTTTCAGTAACTACATGCACAAGTAGGCCATACTTTGTAAGTTTCCCAGGATTATATGTTCACATATGAAGCCTTCCCCTACAAGGAATCACAGATTCGTCCAAAGACAGTTGTTGGTTTGGCTTATAAACTATTTGAAATTTCTGAACAACAAAGTTCAATAAGGGCTGAATTTTGAAAAGCCTGCTTGTTGATTGTGGTTGCAGTTCATTATGATTGAAATGCAAACACCACCAAATTTGCTCAAATCTCTTATGGCTCATTAGTTTGCGGAAAATTGGAATTTCTGAAAATGGATTTGTTGACCAATACTCTTTCAGATTATCCCCCCTTGTATGGCCCATTAGAAAGATTATTTGCAAAAAATGTTCTCATTTCTGCTGAAGTGACATCCACCCACTTCAATGCCTTATAGTTTCTGTCATAATGTTCACGGTGTTGGAGATAGTATCTGTTAGTTTCCTGACATAGCATGTCAAAGAAACTATCTCCAAAAAACAGTTCCGCTACTTCAGAAACTTGCGTTGGGTCCGATGGAATTTGCTTCACCCCTGGATTTCCAGTAAACTGTCCCAAAGCAGGCAATTTGTCTACTTTTCCCCATGTGGCTGTCTCCGAAATGTTGCTACCCGCACTTTCATCGGAGCTATGNTCACAGATTCGTCCAAAGACAGTTGTTGGTTTGGCTTATAAACTATTTGAAATTTCTGAACAACAAAGTTCAATAAGGGCTGAATTTTGAAAAGCCTGCTTGTTGATTGTGGTTGCAGTTCATTATGATTGAAATGCAAACACCACCAAATTTGCTCAAATCTCTTATGGCTCATTAGTTTGCGGAAAATTGGAATTTCTGAAAATGGATTTGTTGACCAATACTCTTTCAGATTATCCCCCCTTGTATGGCCCATTAGAAAGATTATTTGCAAAAAATGTTCTCATTTCTGCTGAAGTGACATCCACCCACTTCAATGCCTTATAGTTTCTGTCATAATGTTCACGGTGTTGGAGATAGTATCTATTAGTTTCCTGACATAGCATGTCAAAGAAACTATCTCCAAAAAACAGTTCCGCTACTTCAGAAACTTGCGTTGGGTCCGATGGAATTTGCTTCACCCCTGGATTTCCAGTAAACTGTCCCAAAGCAGGCAATTTGTCTACTTTTCCCCATGTGGCTGTCTCCGAAATGTTGCTACCCGCACTTTCATCGGAGCTATGGTCACTTTCACTTTCACTGTCTGTGGCCACAATTTTTTGTTTGCCCCTGCCATACTCACTATCAGATTGTGAGTTGCTATCACTAGCAGACTCACAAGGAACGTCAGATAGCTGATTGGAGAACAAGTCAGATATTTCTTGTTTTCCAAGAAAACACTTGGACCTAAACCACTTACAACCTTGATCCATTTAGCACTAGTAACTTCCTGCCTGGTGCATGCAGCTGGAAGATGAACAGAGGCATTTACTTTTGGAGAGGGAAAGGAAAACAGTTTGGTCATAAACAGCGGGGTCATATTACTGACTACGAAAGCGGTCTCCGTAGTCTAGGGGTAACGTTCCCACCTCATGACTCAAGGTACGTGGGTTCAAACCTGGTGGAGGTCGTGGAATTTTTAAGGGCGGAAAAATTCAGGGAACAAGTCCTCTGGGAGGGACTTTAAGCCGTGGGTTCCATGTCTAGATTTACGGCACGTAAAAGATCCTTATGTCTCTAGGAGACCTCTGAGCAAAATTAGGCAACAAGTTTCCCACCCAAGTAGTTTCCAATGCCTCTGGTAGATGTGGGGAAATATCAGGTACCGAGGGCTGACCTTGTTGGCTGAACGGGGCTGATAGCACGCACCAGTACCGGTAGGGTGTGGCGACAGTAGAAATTAAAGGGGGACGCACACTGGACCAATAACTGGTCTAAGTGCATGGGGAAACCCATCCCCTCTAATAATAATAAT